TTCCAATACTAGAAAAAAGTTATCAAAATCATGGTACGATTTGCGGTGAAATTAATGACTCTTTATATAATAACATTACGGTTTCGATGTCAGAAAAAAGTAATCAAATCATGCAAATCGTATAGTAATAGCGTTCAATTAATAAAGCTCTTCACGTACGTTGTTTGTGGAACTATTTTTTGTGCTTTGTCAAATAAGTCTCATCCCTCCGCTCAAGAAATTAGTAGAAAAACGTAATTCATTCTAATATACTTATTTAGTCTTTACACTGCCTAATGGAACTGCCTAAACGATGTTAAAATAGCATGGTCTTATTTAACCGATGTTGATGGGTGTCGAGGATCTTCGAAAAAGCATTATGTTGGGCACAAGCCTGTTAAGGGCCCAGAACAAGAGAGGGACAATAAATAAATAAATAAATCTGCAAGGAATTTCTGAAAATTCCTCGAAGAAAATCTTTTGTCTATGATGGTTAACCGAAACGGAAGCCTTTGGTATTTTGTGAATTGCATTTGTTGTAAGCTTTTTGTTACCTTCTGTTCCATTAATTACAGGAGGAGAATATTGTTTCGCGTTCCTGCATTTGTTTTCCCGTAGATACCGCTAATTAATTTGTCTTTTGTCGCTTTACTCCCGCTAGGGAGTTTGTTGTACGGACCGTGTGCCGTAATTTTGTTAGTGACCGAAAGTGACCGCCGCCATTTGCCGTCCTGTTCCAATTCTTTGAGCTGCCGTTTATTCTGATTGAGTTTACTAGAGGTTTCCGAGACCCTCCCGTAAACCGCTACTATCGCCGACTTTGACCAGGAGCAAGGCCGTAACCCTTGGTGGCGCTCAACTCCGTCCGTCCGTTCTGCCGACATCACATCCAGGTTGCCGCCGATTGCCGCTACTTTCGTCCGTTGGCGTGCATGGTACAATAATTTGTAAATTTAATTATTTTTCTTTTAATTCTACAACAACTCAATACAAAATGTTGAATAAGTTCGCGAACAACAAATGATTTTGTGAATTAGTTTAATGTTTAAATAAATATAAATCAATTTGTTTGATTTTAAAGTGAAATCGTTTGAACATGAATATGTAATTCGCTACATCTCTCGCCACGTTTTTATACGAAATATTGCGAATCTCTCATGCCAAGCCAATTAAATTTTTGCGAAACATTTTCTGCAAGGTTTTTTTGCCGCCGCGAGTTAGTATCGGTTCCGCAAAAAAAGCACTATTTGTCTTTCCAAACATTGTTATTCTAGAAAAGTAAACAATAACGTTTATTTTGTGAAATAACTTCCGCAAAAGGGATAAATAAAACTCTACGAAATAACTTTGAACCGAAAAGGTCTGGCGCTTCTCATTTTTTCCTTTTTAATTAAAGAGACTGACCAGAAGCTTTGAGCTTTGGATTTGCGAAGGGAAAAGTTGAGAAAAGATCGAGTGTGTGCATCAATTACATAAATCACGGATAATCTGTGAGATCGAGACAGCTTTATTCGTATCAAATACTTGTTCGGATTTAATTGTCAGTTCACGTATTACAATTACGACGAGATTTGCAAAAAAAAAAAGCAGAATTGGAGATGATAAATGTGGATGTGGGGTAGTATAAAGTTCGTTTATTTACTTGATGGCCGTCAATATCTTGGACGAATTTTACGACCATCCCTGATGAGGACTGCAGCAAGTAAACTGGTTTACTTAATTTTATCTAACAGATGTAACATCCACCATTTCGATTCTTCGGGAAAAGAGGGAACGAACGTGGAGAATTGAAACTCGTAAAACGCAAGTTTGTAATTCGGTTAAAGGAAAAGGAAGACGGTTTTGGTAATGGTAAGTGAGGGTATATTTAGAAATTGGTATGGCTGCAGATCAAACGTTAAAGGATATTGATCAGTTTGGAGGCACGTTAAAACGCTTTTATTTCGTGTTTTCGGGAAGATTTTGTAAATTGTTTTCTGCACACGTGTAGCTCTGACGTTATAGGATTTACTGCATTAGTAAAGTCGTAACGTAGGGCGTTACTTCTTTTTATGGTTTTGCAAGCGTGCGCGCACACTTTTAGTTGGATCTGGTTTATGAAAAAAGTCTCATAAATCACTACAAAACAAATTAGTAGGTGCCATAATATTATGAGCATAGTATAATGATGGTTACTACAGAAAGTGTTGAGCGAAGTATAATAATTAGAATCATGTAATCAACTAAACTAAAGGTAACATAAAGGGAAGCAAGGGTCAGTTTATTTTCGTAGACTCCTAAGACGTTATTGCCATTATTTGGAAAGAAAACCGATCTTTAATTGCCTTAGATATTCCACTCCTTTGAAGACTACAATGCGTGTTTTAGTCATAAAAAGGGGCAACTTTGCCCCAATTTAACCTACACTGTACCTCTCACTGTTACGGAGATTCTGATGGTGAGCCACGAATTTGAACCACTCTATACATGTGTTTCTTTTTTTACACTTTACACTTAAACATATTATAACTAATAGTTTAAGACGAAACAGAATTCGGTTATGAGACTCGAAAAATTGAGGTTTCTAGCATGCCTAATGGATTTATGTTGCTTTTAAGGAATGGCTATTTAACTTGTAAAGAAAGCGTTCAGGTGGTAGTCACGCATACCCATGACCGGGGAAAGATGTAAAAAGGGGCAACTGAAACGAGCAACTTTGTTACTAGAAAGAGACGTGGAATGTCAAATGTCAGGCATTTTGTTAATTACTCGGTTAATTATATTCAGTTCCAATCCATCATAGTAAGAAACAGTAATACCTTTTCATTTATATTGAATAATAGAATTGAATACGCAAATTAATATGGTTTTTGTTTATGTCACAAAAGTTATTGCTTGGAAATGGGGGCACAAATGCCGCTTTCCGAGGAGTGACCCGAAGACAAACTTAATTACTAATTACAGATTTAGCCCTTGTGAAAGTATACGATCCGCCGTCAATTACATATTTGTAATTGGAATTAAGTTTGCTAATTACGTAAGCTGCTAGTAAATTTCAACTTAGCTGAAATGAGTAATTAATTCCTCCTCTTGAGCCATATTTTAATTTAAGTGATACTTCATGAATATGCAATTCAAGTGTGTCAAAGAAAGTTCTACTGGTTTAGGTGAGTTTTGGAATGTTTATTACGCATGATAGACCGTAGAACATTCGGGCCCTGATATCAGTCCGCGATTTCGTGGCCAATCGGTGCCGAGTACTGTCTTTCATGCGCTCGCTGGTAAGTAGATTGAAAACGAAGGGACTAAAACTTATGAATGCTCGTATTTTAGCCATATCTCTGCTTAAGGTCGCTTGACATGGAGCAATACAACGCGCAAGAACTTGCAGAAAGAAATTGCAAGGTCAAATCCTTGCATGCAATAAGCATTGCATGGTATTTGACATGGTGCAATTCTATTTCAATTGTCTGCCAACAGAAGAAAAATATGGATTTGTCAACAAAGTTGCTAACCCCAAATAAAAATGAAATTTTGATTGCTTGAAGAAACATGAAAATTACAAGAAAAATAAGATTAATAAAAACAAGTAATGAGTGCGTCTCTCAGCATCATAGTTGCCGCCGCTGTATTTTACTAGGTTGGTGACACAAAAATAACTAGATCTATCTCTAGAATTGCGCGATTTATGCAAGAAAAATAGCACGAGTCCTATAAAAACTGCATGCAAGTCTCTTGCAGCAATTGATCAGCTGGCTTTGAACTGCGCATGCCTTTCGCAATTTTTCTTGCAACTTGCATGCAAGTGCAATTTTTATTGCTCCATGTCAAGCGGGCTTTAGAAAACAGATATCAAAATGCGGTTTTCACTGATATTATCACTTTTTCAACTTATTTGATAATATATAATAATTATATCGTTCCATTTGAAATTTTCAAATATAACTGCAAAGTTTATGTTAATGTCACATGGCGCCCTCTACCACTCATCACATTTACTAAAAAGATTCTATTCATGTAATCCGAAGTTACATTCAATTCCTTACAAATTCCTTAAAGAGATGTTTCCCTTCCCCCACCCCTCATATTTTATGAGCTAGAGCAATTTGTGCTGCATTAAAATGATGCAAAATTGATACAAGATTGCTATGCCTGTATTTTTTATGCATGTTTGTTGGGTATATTTTAGGAAAAAAGTCATTTTTATACTATACCATGAATCGTACGCTCCCTAGCGGCAAAGTTAGAAACTTGAAAATAATTTCTAGTGATTTCTCTTGGTCCCTTTTTTTCCCGAAGATGCGCAATTAACGGTTCCATAGATACGACCTGTGACCATTATTAATGGGACACCCTGTACAGGTCCAATTTCTTGAAGTTTAAGGGTGCCTCTCAAGGAGTTGCCACGGTGTACGTTGGTATTTTATACATCCTTGATATGTTACCTGCCAAAGCCAAGATGACCTAAAGTACCTACATAGTAGCCCATCGTACCTAGGTCTGGCAGTCACGAGCTCTTGCTCTATTACACTTCAAGATAAGATTGGTTGGAGAAACGAACCTACGTCTATCCTTGAATAATAATGGAGTCGAAAAAGCAAGCAGATGGATCAAGACCACCACGCTGTTTTGGCGCTCAATCCAGAAATCGACTAATGTTTCTAAAGCGATCGAAAGGTGATTAATCTCAGAATTGGAACTTTTCTAATATTCACCTGGATAATCCAAAATGGTTCTATGGCTCTATTGAAGGCCCTAAGGTCATTATCGCTTTGCAGCAAAGGTAATGAAAGGAAGCAACTACCATTGTTGGTCTAATTGTCTCCTATATAATTAGAAGAATCTTGTCGGTTACTCCGCAAATCTATCTTTTCCCCCTTTTTGGGGGCATAAATTTTATTTCTTTGTGTACGATTAGGTATTACTGTAGCTTCTTGATCTCGATGACCATTTGGCTTCAAAAGTAAAAAGTCAGATTTCAATTGCGCGATATATTACATTTGCTAGATACAACTTTATTTAATACTGTCCGAATTTCGATATTAATAAGGACCACTTCCTCCGCTTGGTCCATGACTTGGATATCCTGCGTGACCGTTAGCGCCTCCGTTGCCCAAAATGCCCACAAAAGCATCTTCGCTTCCAACGTCCGGGACGCCGCTTCCGACCTGCTGGCCTTGTGCGCCCGCGCTGACTTGAGGGGCGGCATCTTGCTTGTTGTTATACTTGATAAAGAAGACTTCTGGTTTGGCCTGTTTCACACCGAGTCCCGTTGGTATGGTAATGGATCCATCTTGTGGTTTCTTCACTAGTACATAGACCAAAGTTTTGTCTTCGGCTTGTGACGGTGGTGCGACTACTTCAGGAACGACTTTGTATCCCGGCGCTTTCACGAAGATGATCTTGGTGTTTTTGTGAGATGCAGGTACAACGTTAACCTTCAATTTCGCCTGTAGGTCTTCCCCAGCCGAGCCATAGAAGAAAACGTGCATCTCATCTTTACCTGCAGAATCGACCGGTAGGTAGCTACCAGAAGGTGGCGGATAGCCGCCAAAGGAACTACCAGGTGGCAAATAGCTGCCAGTAGGCAAGTGAGATACGTCAGGCCAACACTTGACGGCGGCGATGAGCGATAATGCAACCTTAAGAGAGATTCCAAATACACCCAGTTATAAAAGCTTTACACTACTCACCACAATTTGTACCTTCATTGTGTGGAAGACTCAGAAGAAACTGTATCGAAAAATGAACTTCTAAGACCTTATATACAAATCATTCCCCACAAAGTGAACAGTAAAATACAATTATTCGTCCATTGCTAATGTATGTCTTTCTCAACATTACTTAACATACTTTACAGTTACCGAAAAGAGAAATGCGAGCGCATAATAAATAAGTGTATCACATCAAGATGTAATTCCGGAAAGATGAACACGAAAAAATTGCATCTGCAATGATATTGCGACAGAAATCGCCCCGTTGAAGGAGAATAATCGAAAATCTTCAATGACGAAATGGTTCGATGTTTGGGTTTTCAAGGTTGAGGAATTTCATTTTCATACGATTCCAATTACTGATTTGATCAAGCAGCGCAAGTCTCTCCGGCGTAAAGAACTAATCTCACTTCTCCAAGTTACTGTATTTGGGATATAATTGAGGGACATCTTAGAAGTTTAGTTAGGCCATTTTTTTTAAGAAACTTTTTTGAAATCGCCGCTAACTTCTAACCTAAAAGGCACATAGCATCTACAGCCAGTTGGATGCCAATATTGTACAATTGTTGTATTTTTGAAAACTGGACAATTCCCCTAAAAAGTTTTTTTAATTAAAAAGATGTGCTACTTGTTTGCGTTTTGTCTGTCCGTCCCAACTCCCGTCTGTGTTTTTGAACTCCTGTTTTATATTTCTGCAATTTTCGCAATAGGCAACCTGTACCTTGAAAGTGTGCAAGACCTCTTGGGGAGGAGGCATGAGTTATTTCCCGAATTGCAGTTTCTGTAAGTACCAAGTAAAACTTTTTGTTTTTGGTTTTCTTAATGAATGAGCAATTTAAACTTGCCGCGTTTTTGTTACTTTCGTTTCAATGCTTTCAAATACAATTTTAGTTACCTGCGCATAACTAATGCGTGCACAGAAAGATAGATAATTTTTTGATTTCAATTATTCGCATAGAGAGTTAAGTAAAAGCAAGCAGAACAATTAAAACGTTTAGTTCTTTTAGGTGATTGGAGTGAGTTTTCCTTGTGTCCTTTCCTTCGCCACCCCATTCACAATTTCAAACAAGTTTACGCTGATTCGCCGAAAAACTAAAGGTAAGATTTACTTAAGATACAGTCCGCTCATTTACACTGACCAGATAAAACTTTTAACTACATGATTAAATGATCCATATTTAAATTTATCATACAAAATAAATACATGAAATAGAATTAAATGAATTAAGCAGTTACCGACTAAATTTACAATAAGAAACTAACAATGACAAATTCAAAAAATCTTTCCTATTCTGTGTCTCGGCCAGGTCTTATGAAATGGCATGAATTATGTTACATACAGGATGTCCCAGCTACTATTTCCGATATTCCGACCGAAATTACGTTAACAGCACGTATTTTTACACCACAATGTGGCTCGCTCTCATTTTTGGCTTTGGGTTATGCATTTTTGATCAATTTACTAAAAACAATTCCCTAATCAATTACTAAGATCTTGCATTATATCGTTCACCAGACTTGCTAGAGGAAAAATCCTAGCATCCCTAAACTTTTTCCACCCTTGTTTTAATTTATCCCTTTACCTAATTTACCTAAGGTTTTTCTGGAAAAATTCCATAAATTAAATAGACTCGTAGTTTCTCAGTACCTAAAATTTGTTTACTCCTTTCTCTTCTAATTAAATTACTCACATATCAATTCCTACTCGTATAATCTGTAACGGTTCACTAATCCTAATAAATTTAATCCTGAAATTCTCATCCTGTCCTAAACTAAACAAATACCCTTTATTCACAATCGCTTTTACCACTTCTAAATTCCTTTAGGTATAAAATTTCTGCTTCCTCTGCTTACCTAAAATCTCATAATCTTTTCCTATCTCTTTCCCCCCCTATTCCTTTCTTTGATAAACACATCCACAATTACTTCAACTAATTCTCCTTTTCATGTACTTGAGTTCAAAGAAATTCTCCTGCAAAATTTCACCCCTACAATAAATTCTATTCCTGAAAGACGCGTTAAATCCCTAAACTCGAGATTACATCCGTTATATGAGAATTATCTCGCTTTCCTGCAATCGCTTTCCCATAGAAACCGCTACCGAATCCGGTTATTTAGTGTTCTTGCTTAGGGAAATTGCTGTGCGCTTTAAGTTTGTTTTAGCATTAACCAGTAGCGAGACCAGTAGTCACCCACCGCTTGCCCTTCCGAATTCCTGGAATAGCAATTCGAGGTACCAGGAGCGCTCCATCGTCGACCGCATTTTGTCCAGAAACAAGAGAGACCGAAAACTTCTGGTGGCGCCCGAACCACTCCCGTTCCGCCGTTTCCTGCCGTCGTTATGCCACCTTTCGCCGACTATAGCCGCCGTCGCCGCTGGATTTTCCTTTTTCTTACGTTCTTTAAATTTCGTTTTGGTATTACACCGTTTTTTGTGTAAAGAAGAACCGAAGCCACCGTCGGTGCGCCAGATTTCGGCGAAAGTTCGTCGCATAACTCTACCACTACCTACCCCTGTAATTAATGCGGTAATAAACATCCTCATCAAATCTAAATAGCAAAAACACACCCTACAAACTTTTCCTCGACACAACTTGGCAAATGTCTACGCCTACCCTACAAATTCCTATAACCCCTAACAATGCAAATTTCTTTTCCCTATAAAATAACATGTCTGGGTACCAAAATAATTTTACCGTACGACAAAAACTTCCCTAACCTGAATTTAAATTAGCAAATTTGATTTAAGTTTCAATTTCTCCGATTAAATAAATTAAACAATTACCGACTAAATTTACAATACGAAACTAACGTTAAAAATGACAATTTAACACATTTTTCCCATTCTCTTGAATTATGTTACATACAGTATGTCCCAACTATCATTTCCGACCGAAATATCGTTAACAACACGTATTTTTATACTACAAGGTCGTGCGCTCTCATCTTCGGCATTGTTTTAATTTTAACCCAGAAAAACGAGACTCCGATGTAGCTTATGAGTAATGATCCCCAAGAAGCTAAACATCCATAAATGTAGCACTACTACCTTATAATGCAATTATTTGTTAAGCTATTTGCGTGCTAGTTTTCTTTTCCATTTCTTCCTTTCGAGCACGTTTTAAGACTAGTTGTGTTAATTGCAAAAATGTCAATACCGGTGTAATTGCAAGATTTTGACGTATTATTACTATTTTATGGCGATTAACCGGATGTTGTGTAATTCGCTAAGTAATTTTGGATCGAGTCTAAATTGTCTCATTGTGAAGGCTTTAAATGAACTTATAATTAATGACTAATGAATGATTTGACACGTAATATCTTTTAGGGTTCCAGTTCTAGTTTTGGGTTTCAAATTCTACTTAGATTTATTTTCAAGTTATAATTTCACATCCACGTTTACGTACGAGTCGAGATTTAATTATCATTGATACCTGTCCATTGCACGATAACCGATCCGGCGTATATTAATTTGAAGAATGCAGAAATGTTTACAAGAGCAACACCTTATATGAGATAACCGACAGCAACGAAATTGCCCATTTACGTTTAAAAAAACGGTTTTAAAGAACTTTTTATATATTGCTGTGTAAACAATGACGTTGAGTCAACTGAAGTGAATACGGTTCGTTTAATTACTAATCAAATGTTCATTTCAACTCATTTAATTATTCTTGTGGGTTTACTTACGGTTAAACACAATGATTTTGAGTAACTAGCCTGTATCTAAGCTATTTGTGTGTGTGTGTTTGGTTATAAAAAATTCGAGACCGAGTTGCGGCTCGTTAAAAGAAGCCTTTTGCCAATTTCTAGTCCCAGTTGCAGGTCTTTAGAAGACGCGCGTTTCTACGTTAAAGTTTGGTGGAAACGTTTTTGCCTTTCGTCGTTTAAACGTCCAGCCAAGTTCTACATTGATAATAAGTATATAAATAAACGTTTTTTAGCTCTAGTTTAATTAACGTATATAACACTACTTTAAGGATAAATAATATAAATATAAACGCGTTATAGACGGAATTGCGTCCCTTGGATGTGCCAATGGCTCATTTATGTTAACTTTTCTTTTCTTTAATTAATCAAGTGGGTAATTAGTGGGTAATTCTACTTCGATGGCCTATACCAATGTTAATTTTCTTTAAATTTTGAGGGTCATTATTGAGTACTTTGCTTCACTGACCTATTTCTGCATTCTGTGAGTGCAGTAGATCGTCAATCGGAAGTATTTTGGCTCCTCAAGCAATCGTCATTTCAATTACCTAGTGGATTAACTCGGATTCTTTGTTTCTTTTCTCTGTTTTAGAGTGAATTGCTGGAAGCTGGAGCCAAACTCTTCCTATGCTGGCGATTTTGCATAATAAAAGGTAAGCAGGTAAGGTTGACTGGTATTTATTGTTGAATTTTTGTGAATTTCACTAATTTTATATAAATCACTGGATTATTTTGTTGCGGGAAATTGCAACTATCGCTTTCCTGTTTCATAAGAGGAAGCTACAATCCTTTAAAGAAAATGAGTGGCACTCAACTTTATGGTAAACTAGGAGGAAAATTTTTAAATGCTTTACCGAACTAACAACTGTGGAGTAGCTCATGCGGCTGGTTGGAGAAAAGTCAATGCCACTAGCAGTGCCATCTTAACTCTCGCCACCAAAAATAGAAAATTAAAACTTTGCTAATACAAATTCATGAAGTGGACATAAAGATATCGAAAACGATACTCTCAGTTCGACTGATAGATTGGAGAATCCAAAACTGTTACATTAAAGATCAAATAAGATTTCATGCCTATACAGATACCGAAAAACGGCATCTCAGATTGACCGAGAAGTGAATTTTTCCCATCCCTGAAGACCGTTTGGCCAGAAAAGAAAGTAAGTGTTGGGGTCCGAAAAAGTGATAAAATTGATTTCACTTGCACTATATTTACATTTCCTAGTAGAAGATACAACTTAATGGATTAATAAGGACCACTTCCTCCGTTTGGTCCATGGCTTGGATATCCTGCGTGACCGTTAGCGCCGCCGTTACCCAAGATGCCCACAAAAGCATCTTCGCTTCCAACTTCAGGGACGCCGTTCCCGACCTGCTGGCCTTGTGCGCCTGCACTGACTTGAGGAGCGGCATCTTGTTTGCTGTTATACTTGATAAAGAAGACTTCGGGTTTGCCCTGTTTCACACCAAGTCCCGTTGGTATCGTTATGGATCCATCTTGTGGTTTCTTCACTAGTACATAGACCAAAGTTTTGTCTTCGGCTTGCGACGGGGGCGCGACCACTTCCGGAACGACGGTGTATCCCGGCGTTTTCACGAAGATGATCTTGGTGTTCTTGTGAGATGCTGGCACAACGTTAACCTTGAATCTCGCCTGCAGGTCTTCCTCGGAGCCGTAGAAGAAGACGTGCGTCTCGTCTTTACCTGAATCGGCCGGTAGGTAACTACCAGAAGGTGGTAAATAGCTGCCAGAGGAACTACCAGGAGGCAAATAGCTGCCGGTGGGAAAGTGAGATACGTCAGGCCTACACTTGACGGCGGCTATGAGGGACAAGGTAACCTTAAGGGACAGATTATTTTAATTAAACCACATCATAAAAGCTGTGGAGTACTCACCAGAATTTGTACCTTCATTGTACTAGAAGACCAAGAAGCAACTGTATCGAATACTGAGCTTCTAAGACCTTATATACAAATCATTCCCCACGAAGTGAACAGAGAAATACAATTACAGGTCCAGTGCTAATGTATATCTTTCTCAACATTACTTAACATACCTCAAAATTACTGAAAAGAGAAATACGAGCACATAACAAATAAATGACCACGAAAAATAGCATCTGCAATGATGAGTGGTAATGCTGTACTTAAAGAATATGTAAAATTTGAAATATATATTCATAAGGCGTTTTTTAAAATGTATTATTGCATTATATGGACGCATTAGAAAGTTCTTTATAGTTTTTTTATGCGTAACGATATTGTGTATCAACGAAATGCTTTAATTCTAAAGGTATTGAAGGTAACTTAAATTAATTTCGCAGCTACTCGATTTGGTTTCTGTGTAGAAAAAAGTTCCGATCCCCATGGCAAATAATTGCTACGGCTCTTTTCTGGGTGCCGAAAGAGAAAGAATTTGATTGTATCAAATTCCGTTTCTAAGTTTGTTTTGTTTTTATTGGGTGAAGGAAGATGATTTACCAGTTTAGTTAATTATATCCTTCTTAGCGATTAAAAGAGTAATTTATGGAAATTAAAGGCATTAATTTGAATAAAATGCCAAAAGTTGCAGCTGCTGATTTTTCTTTAAATTTGAAAGTTGTTGCGATGTAATCGAATTAGAACACAAAATCTTCGCGTAACGTAATTTATCTGCATATTTCCAGAATTCAAGGAGATTGATAGTTTATGCCCCCAAACGGTAGAAAGGCTTTACCAAAGAGCTCTAAAAACCGACGGATAATCTGTCGGTATGTGGTGTTTACACTATAAATGCAATCAACTCGCCACTTTTCTTCTAATTGACAAACTACCTTTTACCTTTAGAGGTTGTCAGATGGTCAGTTGTAAATTGCATTTAATTATACTATATTAGGTATGGTATACCTGTATTGACATTTTTAATCTTGTAAGAACATTTAAATTAGTCACTCATGAACACTAAGAATATTTCCGATGCGCATGCCATGCATCGAAATAATTCCAAAGCATAAATCACTCGCTGAATATTGTAACTTCACGAGTAATTTTAGTGTAAAATTTCCTATTTTGTTTATTTGGAAAATACGAGTATATGGCAATTTCTACTTATATATGTCGTGCAGGATTTCTTGTAATGAAGAAGCGAATTGGAGCATACGGTTTTAATTCCTTTTTTGTACAAAACGCCAGTTGAGGTTTTTCTTCGATAAATAATGATTTTTTGTATTTCTTCTACTACCCAACCATTGGGTTTCTAAAAAGAGAATTAAAAAATTGTTCTCCGCTCTAGAGTTAATAAACGCTTCTTAGTAAAGTATCCCGGTTATAAACTTCATTTGAAAATTCAAAAAATTTCCGAATATGAAACTGGGACTGAACTAAAAATGCTCCCAGGCCGCTTTCATCAAATTTAAAAGATGTCCTCGGCTTGCATCCTTTTTGGAAGTTTTCACAAACGCACATGATTTAGGGTATGCTCCCAAATCTGTTCTACTTTTTAATCGCAGCACTGAGCACTAGCACAATATGTTTAAATACCTTTGATATTTCCTTCATATATGCTTCCCATTCGTCCACGAAGGTAACTTTTCATATTTTTATAATAGATTTACAGGTGGCACCTTTTCTTCTACTTTTGCAACAAGCCACCGATGGAAGGCGTATTATCTTTTTCAACGAAGTCATTTTATTTCCATATGCGGTGATTTTTATAAGCAAACGTTGCGTAATTTTTTAAACTCAAGTGCTATTTCCATGGCAATCGCGGATCAGCACTTCTGCGGTATTTAATATACGTATTTAGCTCGTTTGCGCTTTGGTACATAAGTCAAGAAAATTCTAAGCAATTGTACCCATAGGAGATCTTAAAAGCATTTATCGCTCCCTAAGAAAAGTTCAAAAGTATTTAAGGGCGCTTAAAGGATCTTTCAAGGAACGTGCAAGGAACTCTATAACCTTTTAAATGTTTTAGAATCCTTACTAGCCTTTTAAAGAATTTAACAGTTTAATAAGAAAGTCTACAAAAAGTCACCAACAGCTATTGAGACCCGCAAAGAGCTTTTTTGACTGTTAACAGTCTTTTAGTCTGTTACAGCCTTTAAGTGTCCTTTACAGCTGTGTCTTTAAGCAGTGTATTGAGTGTTTAACAGCTTACAGTCTCTATAGAGCAGCCATTGAGACTATCCATGAGCATTGTGGTTTTCTTTAGGGCCTTCTACTTTTTGATAGTCCGTAAGCTAAGATCCATTTGCGTTTTTAAGGGTGTCTAACAACTTTTATGAACTTTTAAGAGTCTTCTATAGTCCCAAAAATGTTCAAGGACCCTTGAGAGCCTCCAAGAGCCTTTCGTTTGTTTTATAATCATTACAGTGTTTATTAGTTTATAAGAGATCTTTGTCATGATCTGACCCCCCCCCCTCTCCCCATTCTACTGTTCCCTATCTAACCAACCTAATATCTTTTAATATACCCCGCCGTTTTGCCGTTTACGCTGCTCTTGAAATACATATAAAGAATTATAACCGACCATGATAAGGGGTCGAGGAGGAGGACTATGGTAGGTAGAAATTGATTGCCTCTGCCTCCATTTTGAAATTTGATAAGGGATACGAGAGAAGGGGGGTAGTTGGTAGAAAGCAGTTCCCTAGGCAGTTCCTTTTGTTGGGACTTCTAATTAGAGTACTACTATGAAAGGTCAAACCAATTTCTGTTTCTTTAATTGACAATGTTTATTGAACCCACACCTGATATGAGGACTCTATTTCAGTGTTTCTTAAACTTATTTTTCTAGCGGCACACTAAAATTATTAAACAAAATTTGCGGCACCCCTAAGTATTATTATTTTTTGCTTTTTTTCAGTTAGTAAAGATATGCAGGATGAGAAATGTTTAAAAAATAATTTTTGTAAGTAAGTTTATTTCTATTTCTCTCCTGTTTGTTATGGTGACTTGTTTTGGACGAGAGTAAAATCATCTCATGCGTAAAACTCGGCAGCCGAAGGAGAACTCGCCCTTCTCGCCTGGCCCACAATTGTTTAAAGCGCATTTGTCCATTTGAAAGGAAATAAGGCATTAAAATTTTTTTCTAATATTTACGTGACACCACGTACCGAGCCAGTGAGAGACTGAGAAGTGAAGGGATAATGTACTTAACAAAATTAGTTGACCAGACATATTGAAAGTGGGAGTGATAAAAACGTAATACCAGCATATGATTAATTAATGAATTATAATAAATAAAATAGAAACTTAAAAACATAGAATTGTAATAAAAAACGAATATTAATTTTTTATAATTGTTTTAATTCCATTTTTAAGTTAATTATGTATTTAAAAATTTCACGGCACTCCTATGAAGTACTTGCAGCACCCTAAGGTGCCGCGGCACCAACTTTGCGAACCACTGCTCTATTTGGATCACACAAAGGATTCGAATAAACACACAATTAATTGATTGACAATGACAAAAAATTATTCCGAAACACATGAAACAATTAAAACAAAATGCCTGCAAGAAAGAAAAGCTTGTTTGGAAATAATACACCGCACGCAGACGGTCGATAATTTAAAAAAAATTTAAAATTGCTTACAGGGGCACTCAGCAACTCAGGAGTGGTTTAAACACTAAACTGTACATGTAAAGGTAACCAGTAATTATTAAATTGTGTCATCTCAATATATACTGTCACTTGTCCCTCGTCGTGCTTTTCTCTCTCCAAGGGAAAAACTGACACCTTAGTCCCTTAAATGAAAGATGAAACACGTTAACTTAGTCCACGGAGTACAAAAATTGAAGTACCGCAAGAATTAACCCGCACAATAGACACATCTGGGGCCTTCCCGGCGAAAAAGACATTTGTTCCCGTGCTAGAATGTTATGAGTTATTCCGGATGGTTTTAAACAAGTGAATTTTTCGTAACAATTTTCGAATTTAATTTAATTTTTTACAGTTAAAGCTATCTCAAAATAAAAGAAGATAGAAAGGCATAAAATTAAATTAATTGGAAATTGGATGATGATCCTTGTACCACTTCTTAGGAACTTGTAAAATCATAGGAAGATATTTTAATTTTCGAAATACTTGTCAGAACTTGCAAAAATTGTCTAGTTTAATTTTATTCTTCAGATACCCTAAATTAAAAAAATCTCAACTCTCGAAGCTACCATTTCACATTATGTAGGTGAACTTTTGTTCCATAACAAAATTGAGGAGAAATCAAATGAATGTAAAGTGAACTCAACGTAAAGATGGTGAGTTTATACAATCATTATCATTAGTTCACTATCAAAAATCATTAAGAAATATCCAATAGAAGCAAAGGTTTATTTCGCGTTGCTAACTAACAAAACCACTCTTTGCTTAGTGAACTAATGATAATGATAGTACAAACCCTCCAATAGATTGAAATTTTCTCCATTACGGCTTGAGCAAAATTTGTATTGTACGGCAAAAATAGAGAGAAAACGAGCACAATTATAACGTGTTGATGCCTTGAATCTACATCTCGTGCCTCCAACTTCATGGATCGTATGAAATATTCTATATTTGAATCCAGGAACTGTTTTTTGAAGGCAGGATCTCTGTTACATCAATTCAAGTCAGATATACCCTTTTCTCTGGAGGTGTAGATCCGATCCTTCGGCAGAACAATTTTAATTGTGCGCCTAATGCGCTCAGAAACTTAGTTCTCTTTTCTGTTGCTTTTCAATTAATAAAATACTGTCTCGTGCCTAAATATTAAAATATGTTCAGTAATCAGTAGAAGTTAACAGAAAACCACTTGAAGAGTTTACCATTGCGACAATACTTCTAATGAAAATAAAGAAAAAAACACAAAATAGCCACCTCATCAACCGCTAGTTATTGTTTTCGCTCGATTGATATTTGGGAATGTAATACGTTGAACAACGTTAATGGTGGGCTAGAATTTTT